TTTTGTATTTTCAGTAGAGACGGGGTTTCACCATGTTGGCCAGGCTAGTCTCGAACTCCTGACCTCAGATGATCCGCCCATCGTGGCCTCCCAAAGTGCTGGGATTACAGGTGTGAGCCACAGCACCCGGCCTAATTATTTCTTTAAGGCTGAGTTACAAGAAATAACTAGTTTAAATATCAGTATTTTTAAGATTCTTGATATACACATTATTAAACTGTTTGCCAAAACAGCTGTGCTAATGTACACTAGTAAAAACAGAAGTGTCAGCTTACTGCATTCCTTCCAACATTGAACATTTTCATTTTTAAAATTATATTCATGAAAATCAATCAGTTCTAGGAGCCGGGAAATCTGAGATCAAGAGGTGGGTGAGGTTAAAAAAAAAAAAGAAAGAAAAAATCAAACTACTCATTTTCATTTGTATTTCCTGGATTATAGTGAAGCTAAATTTTAAAAGTGTTACAGCCATTTGATAACCTTCCTTCATAAAATAAGCAACCTATTTTATTGCCCATTTATTCAATTGGGGCTGAGTGTTATACTTTACTTGAATGTGACCATAATTCATAAAAATTATCTTATGTTTGTACCTTTTATTTTTCCTAAAAGTTTTTCTATCACTCTTGTCCTATTAGTCTCTTCCTTTAACATTTCTCCCATTTCCTAGTAAGACCTTCATCCAGAATATAAATGGATCTTCAATTACCAGCCAGGTGTGGTGGCTCACGGCTGTAATTCCAGCACTTTGGGAGGCTGGGGTGGGAAGATGACTTGAGCCCCAGGGTTTGAGACCAGCCTGGCCAATAAAGCAAATCCCAGTCTTTACAAAAAATTTAAAAATTAGCCACGTGTGGTGGAACACATCTGTAGTCTTAGCTACTCAGGAGGCTGAGGCAAAGTATTGCTGGAGCATAGGAATGAGGCTACCTGTGAGCTATGATCATGCCACTGCACTCCAGCCTGGGTAACAAAGTGGAATCCTCTAGAAATAAAATTCAATTATAATTTCTTGTTACTAAAAAACTTACTTTAGTTTCTTTAAAAACAAAATAATGCAGACACACCATAAAAATCCCAACAGTGCAAACAAGCGTATACCCCAGCCCTCAAGACCTATTATCCTCTTGTGTATGAAGATTTAGCTACCCATCTCCCTTTTTAAAACAGAAAAAAGTGGTAGCAAGCTATACACATGCTTTACTACACCTGACTTTTCTCACTTTAGAAATCTAATCTTATCTCTACACATAAATCAATCTCCTCCTCCATTTTAAAATCAGTAAAATACCCTTTTTTTTTTTTTTTTTTTTTTGGAGACAGAGTCTCACTCTGCACACAAACTGGAGTGCAGTGGCATAATCACAGCTCACTGCAGCCTTGACCTCCCCAGGCTCAGGCGATCCTCCAACCTCAGCTTCTCCAGTAGCTGAGACTACAGGCACACACCACCACACCCAGCTAATCTTTGCATTTTTTGTAGTGACACGGTCTCGATATGTTGCCTAGGCTGGCCTCGAACTCCCAGGCTCAAGTCATCTGCCTACCTTGTCCTTTCAAAGTGCTGGAATTATAGGCATGAGCCACCACACCAGCCAGCAGCAAAACACTTGATTGTATGAATGTAACATCTTTTAATTAGTCTCCTACTGATGGATATTGAGGTGGTTTCCAAACTAGTTACTACAAACAATTCTGTAAGTAATATCCTTGTACACAGGTCTTTGTGTACAAACACAAATATATTTGTAGGATGGAGTGCTAGAAGTGAAACTGCTGAGTCAAGACATGCATATTAGATTATGACAGATATCACCACATTGCTCTTTTTTAAAGTTGTAAGAGTTTACACTCCCACCAAAAACGTATGAGTCTTGCTTAGAGTAGGATGTCAAGTACTGACTGATCAATGTGGAAAATGTACTGGAATCAAAAAATACAAATTTTGCAACCATCACAGTAAACATTAGTCCAGGCAAGCACCGTCGATAGACGTTCAATCTAAGGGGAGAGATTTCAGTCAGCAGGATATTTTTATGGTCTTAAAGTGTATCCCAAGATTGCTTAAATACAAAGGGAAAAAACAGTAACCATATGGAAATAAGACAAAAGCTTTATGAACTGACCAAAATAATATCACCATTGAAGGGCAGACAGACTGTATACCTCCAGATGTGACACCCTGAAAAACACACATCACTTATGTTATATTCCACCCAAGACTGCACAATCTAAATTTAATCATTAGGAAAGAACAGATAAACCCAAGTGAGGCATAGCCTATTAAGAAATGAAAAGCAGGACAAGGTTGTGTTCACAAAAATATCAATGTCACCGGAAATAAAGAAAAGCTGAGGATCTCATGTAGCTTAAAGAATACTACAGAAATACGCAATTAAATGCAGGTCATAATTCTAGACTGGATCGGGGAAAAAACACTAAGAAGGATTGGGTCAATTAACAAAAATGGAATCTGAATAGTGTATTGTTATTACAGATTTGTTGAAGTTGATAATTGTGCTGTGGTTCTGCAGGACAGTGCCCTTTTACTTTGGAGAAACACACTAAAGTGTCACGGGGAAGAAGGCTGTAATGGGCACAACTTACTAACAGGTCAGGAAAAGACATACATACATACATGAGAGAGTGAGCGGGAGCACATGCATAAGTGAAAAAAGCAAATGGGACAGTATGTTAACAGTAGCTGAATCTGCATACGAATTATATGTTCTTTGTGCTGGTTCCCATAATTGCTGTTAATCTGAAATTATTCCCCAATAAAAAGTTCTAAAAAAAAGACTAAGAAGTGGGAAATAATGACCGCTCATATTCATTGACACACACACATACATACACACAGAGTATATGAATGCCTGTTTTCCCATCTTCATCAATCTTACTATAAACAATTTCTAATCTTTGCCAACAATGGGTAAAAACATGGTATTTCAGTTTTAATTTGCATTAAAGTGAGATTAAGCATCTTACATTTAAAGGCCATTTTATTTTCTGTAAACTATCTTCTTTTAATTTTTTATACTGAACACATTTCAGCTTTCTGAAATTTTGATATGAAATGATAAAGTAACTTTCAAGGGTGCCAAGCAATTGTTCATGCACTGTTATTCAAGGAATCCTCTCTGCCCACTGATTCTGATGTCCTTTTAGTTGTACTTTGAAAATACTAGTATTTAAAATAATCTGCATTTCTCTAACTCAAGCTAATCTTTTTAAAATTCTATCCAAATGAATAAAATTTTCCATAATGATACTCATATCAATACAATATGCAAATAACCAATGACTATATAAAAAGTGGACACTATTTCAAACAACTCACAAAGCCATACGGCCAGGAACGGTGGTTCACGCCTGTAATTTCAGAACTTTGGGAGGCTGAGGCAGGTGGATCACCTGAGCTCAGGAGCTTGAGATCAGCCTGGCCAACAGAGTGAAACCGGGTCTCTACTAAAATACAAAATTAGCCAGGCGTGGTGGTGCACACCTGTGATCCCAGCTACTCGAGAGGCTGAGGCACAAGAATAGCTTGAACTCAGGAGATGGAGGTTGCAGTGAGCTGAGATTGCCCCATTGTACTCCAGCCTGGGCAAAAGGACTGAAACCCCATCCCCTCCAAATAAAAAAAAAGCCACACCTTCAAATATTGACAAACATATTGAGTATACATTTAATTATTCTCACATACATAGTATAAACTGAGAAAAGTTTTACATACTATACACTGAACCATTGTTGGATCCTAAGAAATTTATTCTGGACCAGTAACAGCACTAAAAAGAAACATCGGTTTCAACAGAAGAATTTAACAAAAATAGTTAGTTATCAATAATTTCAAATGCCATCACGTTTTCCCTTATACAATTCTTTTTTTTTTGTAGTCCTAGGTTGAGATGCAATTCCCTGAAAATTATCAGCATCCGAAAGCTTATTTTTTACACTAAAGGGGAAAAAATCTTTCTATCTCTAAAACTTAGACAAACCAAAGGAAAATGTCTATACCCTAAAATATTCATGTCTTTGTTCTCCTTAGCTCCCTTTTTGTATTATAATTTCTTTTTTTTTTTTTTTTTTTGAGACGGAGTCTCGCTCTGTCGCCCAGGCTGGAGTGTAGTGGCCAGATCTCAGCTCACTGCAAGCTCCGCCTCCCGGGTTTACGCCATTCTCCCGCCTCAGCCTCCCGAGTAGCTGGGACTACAGGCACCCGCCACCTCGCCCAGCTAAGTTTTTGTATTTTTTAGTAGAGACGGGGTTTCACCATGTCAGCCAGGATGGTCTCGATCTCCTGACCTCGTGATCCGCCCGTCTCGGCCTCCCAAAGTGCTGGGATTACAGGCTTGAGCCACCGCGCTCGGCCTTTGTATTATAATTTCTAACAGACTGGAGGACAAGGGCTGTCTCTTTCATTTTTCTCTGGGAATCCCCACAACCTCCAAAAACAGTAGTCTGCACATACGGATACTCAGTGAACGGTACTGACAGAAAGAACATATGCTAAGATGAAAGCCCTTTCTTGGATAGAACTGAATTACTTTACCCAATATATCTGTAAATGGCAACAGCATTACTTTTAAAAACTGTTTTTAAATATACATATAGACGAAAGTATGTATCACAAGATCATTTAAATACATCACAGTGAATAAGGTAGTCAATGAACTTCAGAAATTATTTTTTTTTTTGGAGACAGTCTCGTTCTGTTGCCCAGGCTGGAGTGCAGTGGCACAATCTCAGCTCACTGCAACCTCTGCCTCCTGGGTTCAAGCAACTCTCATGCCTCCTAAGTAGCTGGGATTACAGGTGCATGCCACCACATCTGGCTATTTTGTGTATTAGTAGAAACAGGGTTTCACCATGTTGGCCAGGCTGGTCTCAAACTCTTGACCTCAGGTGACCTGCCCACCTTGGCCTCTCAAACTGCTGGGATTACAGGCATGAGCCACCACACCTGGCCAAGGAATTCTTACATTACAAAATCTTACCTCTTCAAAAACAGCAGCTTTATTTACTTTTTCCCTTGCAATGTCACAGATTTTCAAGATTCCCAGAGCAAAAGCCTTCATAGCAGGATCTTCTATAAAGTCTGGATTATGAATGTAAAGGCACGTAAATACTGTCTGTGCCAACGAATGGCCTTCTAACCATGTTATCTATAAAGAAACAAAAGAGTATATATTTAAGGTGATAAAATTGAGTCTGCAAAGTCTAAATTGATCCTAGAGTCAAAGGCCAGAAGCACCATAGACCCACATAAGATTAATCACAAGACTTAAAAAAAAGACAAGTTAGAATTCCTTTCATTGACTAACATTTTTCAAGCATCTATGGGAATCACTGTCATATGTACATCAGTTTGCAACATATTAGAGATTAATGAAATTAAGACTGCCTCTTTATGTAGCATCCAAAAGAAATAAGGTCCACAATGTAGTCAATAAAAAAATCCATAAACTGGAAAATTCACAATTGTAGAACTAACCAGATCCTTAGACACTCATCGAACTTTATAATCCTTACCACCACAACCCAGCCAACACCATATCTCACCTAGATTATCGGAAGAAACTAGAAACTAGACAGGTTTTCCTGCCTCCCATCTCCAATTTAATACCCCCAAGTAGAGATCTTTCTAAAACACTAAGAGAATCATTTTATACTATTTTACTGAGTGACCACTATATGTCTGGCACCATGTACTAGAGATTGGGAATACCAACAACAGGCAAAATTGGGTAAGTACCGTGTCCCAAATATTATGCTAGGTTATTTTCAAATATCTCTCATTTTTTCCTAACACTTTGAGAAAGGTGGTATTTTTCTCCTTTTACATGTAAAGAAACAGAAGAGTTTAAATCATTTGCCCAAGTTTATAGTTATTTTTACACTAAAGCCCAAGAATTCTGCAACAGAGTAAGACATATGCTACTGCATTGCAAAATGACAAATGTTTGTGGAAAACTTGTAATTAAGGTGTGTATTTGGTATTAACTACTGTGCAGAAGAGAGACTTTCCAGACTAAAAACCATCTGCCTTTTAAAGTCCAAATTTTTAAATACAGTCCCAAGAGTCTCACAGAATAGTTCCTCAACTTTGGCAAAAATACTCCTTCTGTTTACCTTTCCCTCCTTCTCCACCACTCTCCACTTATCCCACACTCCTCCTACTTGGCTCCCTGCCAGACTTCAGCCTTAAGCAGCTATCTATGATTTTCCAAAATGAACATTTTCACATTGCCATGCCCATGCAATATACCTCTTGGCCTACTAAACCATGAATCTTCCTGTCATATACCTACCATTCTTTAGTACCTCATACCAATATTACTTCCTTTCTACAGCCTTTCTTACTCTCCCAGACATAATTAACTCCTCCTCTCTGTTCCCACAGCACCATTATAAAAGCATTTTCATGTTGTCAGAATTGTTTATTCACGTCTGTTCCCAGCAATCCTTTGACTCTTTTCTTTACTCCACCCACTAGGACTGTAAACTGCTAAAAGGTAATAAAGAAATCTTTGAGGGGGTAAAGAGACAGCTTTGGAAGATGAAGGATCAGGATTAAGATTCTGGCAAGGGCCCTCCCAAGCAACATAACCATAGACAGTAAGATAGTACGGATACCTAATAAAGCTCATGTAAAACGTAAGTGAAAACTGTACATATAAAACACCTAATACAACTACACACACTGGCAATCAATCAATAAACGCTGAATGAACAAATGAATAAATTTTACGTATTTCTAAGGACAATGATTTAATGTCAATTTAAAAGAAAGGGATGGTCAGAAAGCAGGGGGGAGAAGAAAGCAGTACAAATGAGAATTTCTCCACACACAATACTTTCCAGGGAAAACATAATTCAGCATATACAAATCACTAAAAAATTTTCTTCCCAGGAGATGGCCAGTTTACCACAATTTATCCTAGATTAGAAAAAAATCTCTCCAAAGCCATTGTCTAGCTCTCTTTTGTTTCGATTCCACGCTTATTTATGAAACCTTCCAATTACAGACTTATTGCTTGAGTAACTTGAGAACGAAAAGGGTATTATGAACAATGGCTACAATACTATCTTCACTGAAAAGAAAATATCCCTTCACCCAGAAAATTAAAATGTAAAATCAAGTAGATGACAAGATGAAATCCTATTACCAGGCCTGCCAATCTTATGCACATCTTTACTAGGCCAAGTATTACATTTATTTCATACTCAACATTAGTGTATAGGCTTTTAAATCACAAGATTCAGGTAAATCACAGTTTTTAAATTAACCAATAGTCTTAATTCCATTCTTACCAAACAGCAAAAACATGTATCCATAATCCCTATCAGTTCAGGCAAGGTGAGATCTTTAATTTTAATAGTGCCATCCTAAAAAGGAGGAAGAATGTGACATATAAGCAGAAATTTTTTTAAACATGGTTACTATGTATAGTAGCATTCTGGATTTCTAACATTCAATATTTAAAAACAGCAATTCTAAGAAAATGCTATCTATCATCTGATAAAACTATCACACCAAATTAACTCTGTATTCTTAAAAACTATCATCTTATAAATTTTATTTTTAATTGACATAGTAAAAACAATATATCTTAGGTCTTCAATAAGAAAAATCTAAACAATAAAGGCCTTTATATAAAATGAAAAGCCAAATCAACAAGTATTTTAAAAGCAGTTCAAACCAGCTTTAAGTATTAATATAAATCATTTTAATGACCCAAAACTACTTAGAAAGAAAACTAAAGATTTTTTAAAACACTTAAGTTAGTTAACTATATTACTTGCAAATTTTGTTTACAATATTCATTTGCTCAGCAAACCTTTCTTTATAAAATATGTAAAATCAAACTCTATTGCAAGTATAAATGAATTTCTAAAGCAACTTTAAATTCACTACCACAAGTATTGTACTTGTGCAAATTTACTTTTACGTATTAACATATTAATACACAAAATTTAACCCCCAAGCCAATTTTCCTATTTGAATAGAGTGAAATGCTTTCAAAAATTAATTTTAAAAGTACACAAATGCACAAATTTAGAGCAAGATTTTAATGAAGACCTTAATTTTCAGATTTTAACATATAAAGGTTGTAACTAATTCTTGTTTATATACTTGAGCTGCTTTGAAGGAAACAGACTTTAATACAACGTTTCATTTCATTATTAAGCACAATGTTTTAACATAAAATAACAAAAGATAAAAGGAAACACAAAAAGTACAATGGTGACTACCTTGATAGCTTGTTCAAAATTGAGAACTTTTCGATTAACTTGGTTTCCAATCATGCCAGCATCCATCTTGGGATCCATCATTTCAATAGCAGACATGGCTTCAAAAAGACCAAATCTGCAAATAAAAAAATTAAGTCCACAGATTGTTTTTGAGCCAGTAAGCTTATTCATATTTTCACAATGGTATAAAATTATACTACTTTTAATAACTGTTCTATGTATTCAGTCTTCTCAACTTGCTAACACTTCTACTTCAATTAACTGTCGATTGATACAAAAATTATTCCATGTACTTGCCACTCAAATGATTTTACACACACTGTGAGGAAGAAAAAGATTTCTGCTGGGCGTGGTGGCTCACACCTGTAATCCCAACACTTTGGGAGGCCGAGGCGGGTGGATCACCTGAGGTTGGGAGTTCAAACCAGCCTGACCAACATGGAGAAACCCTGTTACAAAAACAGCTGGGCATGGTGGTGCATGCCTGTAATCGCAGCTACTTGGGAGGCTGAGGCAGGAGAATCGCTTGAACCCGGGAGGCAGAGGTTGCGGTGGGCTGAGATCGCACCGCTGCACTCCAGCCTGGGCAACAAGAGCAAAACTCCATCTCAAAACAAAACAAAACAAAACAACAACAAAAAAAAGAAATATTTAAGATTTCTGTGGTCTCACACTAGACCTAATAAAGAATTCTCGGGGTGGGGCCCAGCAATCTATGCTTTAGTAAGCCCTCCAGATGATTCTGTCGCACGCTCAAATCTGAGAAGAACTGAATTTCAGATTCTACTTTCCCTTCCCCACAACCACAATGTCCAATCTTGTCTACTTACTAATTAAAAGTTTCACATTCCTAACCCTGAAAATTGAGCCTGGCCATGGCAGTATAGGAACTGGGGCTATATATAGGCATATAAACATGAACAAGTATTTCCATTTATTTTGTTTTTCCAAGGTGCTATGGTTTGAATGTGGTTTGCCTCCACCAAAATTCATGTTAAAACTTGATCCCCAATGTGGCAGTGTTGGGAGGTGAGGCCTAGTGGGAAGTGTCTTGGGCATGGAGGAGAATCCCCATGAATAGATTAAAGCCCTCTGAGGGAGGTGAGTTCTTGCTCTCCCAGGAATGAATTACAGTTGACCCTTTCACAACATGTGTTTGGACTGCATGAGTCCACTTAGACAAAGGTTTTCTTGCACCTGTGCCACCAGAGACTGCAAGACTAACTTCCTCTTCCTTCCTCAGTCTGCTCAACACAAATATGACAAACATGAAAACCTTTATGATGATCCACTTAATGAACAGTAAGTATATTTTCTCTTCCTTATAATTTTCTTCATAACATTTTCTTTTCCCTAGTTTATTGTAAGAATATAGTATATGGCACATATGACACACAAAATATGTGTTAATCAACTGTTTATGTTATTGGTAAGACTTCCAGTCAATGACAGGCTACCAGTAGTTAAGATTTTGGCGGAGTCAAAGGTTTTATGTGGATTTTTTACTGTAAGGGGGTGGGTCGGCACCCCAATCCCCAAGTTGTTCAAGGGTCAACAATACCATCCAAGAGGGTGGGTTGTTTTAAAGACTCTGACTTCCTCGGTTTCTCTTTCTTGCATCCTCCCCTGCCATGTGATCTCCTCGCACCACATGCCACTCCCTGCTGCTCCCCTTCTGCTTTCTACCATGAGTTGAAGCACCCTAAAGCTCTCACTAGATGCAGTTGCCCAATCTTAACCTTCCAGTCATCAAATAAACCTCTTTATAAACTCCCCAGTCTCAGGTATTCAGCTACAGCAACACTAAACTGACTAAGACACAGGGATTGTGTCAAATAAACCTCTTTATAAACTCCCCAGTTTCAGGTATTTAGCTATAGCAACACTAAACTGACTAAGACACAGGGATTCTCATTTACTTTTATCTAGGCACTTAGTCACCCAATTTCTGGTTATCAACCAACCTATCACATATGACATACAACTGATACCTTTTCTTCAAGAAATTCCACATTCATTACATCTGCTCTCCAGGAAAGGACCATAAGTTACAGTTTCCCTAGGTATAACCATTTCACATCACAACTAGGGTTAGCTGCCCCAAAATAGCTCATCACAGTTAAAAATATATTTATAATTAGTTTTATTTTCATAATTTTGAAATGTAAACTTACTCAAACTTCAGGGAATATTACTCCACATGAGAAAAAAAAAAGACTGAAATATTACACTACACCATTTTCAAAGAATACTTACAGCTTATCATGAAGTAGTTCTCCCAACTTTAATTCTAAAAAAAAAAAAGGAAAATCCTTTTAATTCTAAGAAAAAAAAGACATTAGCACCTGAAAAAAATGTGCTTGTATTACTTTAAAATTCATTTTCTAAGAAATACTTACTTCTACTCCATTACTAATATAATGCATTCTATGTTGTGGGAAGTCAGGGACCCTGAACGGAGGGACCAGCTGAAGCCATGGCAGAAGAACATAAATTGTGAAGATTTCATGCACATTCATTAAGTTCCCCAAATTAATACTTTTATAATTTCTTATGCCTGTCTTTACTGCAATCTCTGAACATAAACTGTGAAGATTTCATGGACATTTACCACTTTCCCAACAATACTCTTGTGATTTCCTATGCCTGTCTTGTCTTTAGTCTCTTAATCCCATCATCTTTGTAAGGTGAGGATGAATGTCGCCTCAGGACCCTGTGATGATTGTGTTAACTGCACAAATTGTTTAAACAATATGAAATCTGGGCACCCTGAAAAAAAGAACAGGATAACAGTGATGCTGAGGGAACAAGGGAGATAACCATTAGGTCTGGCTGCCTGAGAGCCGGGCAGAACAGAGCCATATTTCTCTTCTTTCAAAAGCAAACAGGAGAAATATCGCTGAATTATTTTTCTCAGCAAGGAACAGCCCTGAGAAAGAGAATGTGTGCCTTGGGGGAGGTCTCTAAAATGGCTGCTCTAGGGACATCTGTCTTTTACAGTTGTAGATAAGGGATGAAGTAAGTCCCAGTCTACCATAGTGCTCCCAGGCTTATTAGGACGAGGAAATTCCCACCTAATAAATTTTGGTCAGACTGGTTGTCTGCTCTCAAATGCTGTCTCCTGATAAGATGTTATCAACGACAATGCGTGCCAAAACTTCATTAGCAATTTTAATTTCGCCCCAGTCCTGCGATCTCGCCCTGCCTCCATTTGCCTTGTGATATTTTATTGCCTTGTGAAACATGTGATTTCTGTGACCCACATCCCATTCGTACACTCTCTCCCCTTTTGCAAATCACTAATAAAAACTTGCTGGTTTTGCGGTTTGGGGTGCACCACAGAATCTGCCGACATGTGATGTCTCCCCCGGACACCCAGCTTTAAAATTTCTCTCTTTTGTACTCTTTCCTTTTATTTCTCAGACTGGCAAACACTTAGGGAAAATAGAAAAGGACTCACATCAAATTATTAGGGGCAGGTTCCCCCAATAATTCTGTACAGTGAGTACTTATGTAAATACAAAAGAATACTATAAATCAAGTGGTTTAAGAAAAAAAATAATACTTTTGAGAATAAGTGACCCATCACAGGCCATAATATTCCAATCAGAATTACCAACCCCATTTTTAAAAATCACTAGTATACTTCCCCAAGTAAACTTTTACATAGAACTGACTGCTACTTCTCAAGTTTTTAAACCATGTTACCATAATCTAATTTCTGTTCCAGTAACAGTGTCAAAACCATTTTTTAAAATCCTATTGTATTTAAATTATATAGAAAACACTTGAGTAAACAGGTAATCAAAACAGTGTTCAATCACTATAAAGCACTGGTCCTCAACCTCGGCTGCATATTAGAGTCAACTGAGAAACTTTTGAAATCCCAAAGTCCAAGCAGCATCCCAAACCAATGAAATCTAGAGTTGGGAACCAATGAAATCTAGAGCTGGGAACTATACACTGGTTTTAGAGCACTCCAGATGATTTTAATACGCAGGTAAGTCAGAAATCACTGCTATAACATGCTAAGTAAATTAAATATTGATGGCGGCCAGGCACAGTGGCTCACACCTGTAATCGCAGCACTTTGGGGGGCCAAGGTGGGTGGCTCATGAGGTCAGGAGATCGAGATCATCCTGACTAACACGGTGAAACCCTGTCTCTACTAAAAATACAAAAAAATTAGCCCGGCGTGGTGGCGGGCGCCTGTAGTCCCAGCTACTCAGGAGGCTGAGGCAGCAGAATGGCGTGAACCCAGGAGGCAGAGCTTGCAGTGAGCCGAGATCGCGCTACTACTGCACTCCGGCCTGCGCAACAGAGCAAGACTCCGTCTGGGGAAAAAAAAAAAATTTATGGCTAAATCCTGTGGAAGGTGTAAGCAGTTTTCTGAACTGTAGCCAATCTTCCTTAGCCAACTGTAAGTTAAATAACATTAATTTTTAACAGTTCCAGGTACTGAAACAGATAAGAATCATGTATAAAAATATAACAATAAGGCTGAGGCTAGTGGATTACTTGAGGTCAGGAGTTTGAGATCAGCATGGCCAACATAGTGAAACCCCATCTCTACTAAAAATACAAAAATAGCCAGGTGTGGTGGTGGGTGCCTGTAATCCCAGCTACTTGGGAGGCTGAGGCAGGAGAATCACTTAAACCCAGAAGGCGGAGGTTGCAGTGAGCCGAGATTGTGCCACTGCACTCCAACATGGGTGACAGAGGAAGAGTCCATCTCAAACAAAACAAAACAAAACAACAAAACATAGAAAACATACTAGTAATCCAGCAATTCTCAAAGAGTGATCTGGGAACCCAGGAGCCTGCAATGTTAAAATTACTTTGATAAGCATACGAAAACATTCATTGTCTTTTTTTATTGTGTTGACACCTGTACTAATGATGCAAAAACGACGACAGGAAGGCAAAAAGGCACTGGAGGGCAAAACTGCTGCAGCTTCAGCACAAATCAAGACAGCGGCCCCAAGCTAAATTAATCATGTACTCTGCACTTCCAGGCACTTATGGCTAAAAAAAGGCAAAAATTTTCTTCAATCTAAGAATGCCCTTGATGATCACTATTCATTAGGAAAGTGCAAATTAAAATTACAATGACACCGCCTTACACACATTAGGATGGCTACTACAAAAAAAAAAAAACCCTGCAGAAAATAAGTGTTATAAGGATGTGTAGAAACTGAAACCCTTGTGTACTGCTGGCAGGTCTGTAAAATGGTTGAGACACTGTGGAAAACAGTATAGCAGTTCCTTAAAAAATTAAAAACAGGACAGATGCAGTGGCTCACACCCATAATCCCAGCACTGTGGGAGGCCAAGGCGGGAGGACTGCCTAAGCCCGCGAGTTCAAGACCAGCCTGATCAACACAGTGAGACCCTATATCTACAAAATATCTTTTAAAATTAGCCAGGCATGGTGGTGCACACCTGTAGTCCTAGCTACTGGGGAGGCTGAGGTGGGAGGATTGCTTGAACCCTGTAGTTTAAGGTAATAGAAAGCCACAACAGAACCACTGAACTCCAGCCTGGGTAACAGAGCAAGACCCTGTCTCTAAAAAAAAAAAAAAAAAAAAAGGAAAAGAAAAAAAAAATTTAAACAAAATTACCATATGATCCAGCCAATTCAAATTCTGAGCATATACCCAGAAAGACTGAAAACAGAGTCTCAAAGAGGTACTTGTATGCTCATGTTCACAGTAGCTTTATTCACAAGCACTAAAACATGGGAAACAACCCAAGTGCCCACTGACAGATGAATGATAAGCCATGGCATACACATACAATGGAATATTACTCAGTCTTAAAAAAGAAGGAACTTCTGACATGCTACGACATAGACTAACCTCGAGGACATTATGCTAAGTGAAAAAAGCCAGGCACAAAAAGACAAATACTGTATGAGTTCACTTAAATGAAATACTTAAAGTAGTCAAAAATAATACTATAGGGCCAGGCGTGCTAGCTCATGCCTGTAATCCCAGCATTTTGGAAGGCCAAGGCAGGCAGATCACCTGAGGTCAGGAGTTCAAGACCAGCCTGCCCAACGTAGTGAAACCCCATCTCTACCAAAAAAATACAAAAATTAGTCAGGCATAGTGGTGGGTGCCTGTAGTCCCAGCTACTTGGGAGGCTGAGGTGGAAGAATCACTTGAACCAGGAGGCGGAGGTTGCAGTGAGCTGAGATTATGCCATTGCACTCCACCCTGGGCAACAGGGTGAAATTCTGTCTCAAAAAAAGAAAACAAGTCATAGTGTAGACTGCTGGTTGCCAGAGAATGGGGAGAGGAATGATGAAGACTTACTATTTGTTTAATGGATAGAGAATTTTAGCTTCACAAGATAAGAGTCCTGGATATGAATGGTGGTGATGTTAGCAGGACAAATGTATTAAATACCACTGAACTGTACATTTAAAAATGGTTAAGCTGGTTAAAAAAAAAAATTTCTCTTGAGACAGGTCTCACTCTGTTGCCCAGGCTGGAGAGCAGTGATGCTATCACAGCTCATTGCAGCCTTGACCTCCCAGGCTCAGGTGATCCTCCCACCTCAGCCTCCTGGGTAACTGGGACGACAGGTGCAAACCACCATGACCGGCTAATTTTTTGTATTTTCTTACAGAGACGGGGTTTCGTCATGTTGCTCTGGTTGGTCTCAAACTTCTGAGCTCTAGTGATCTGCCGCCTTGGCCTCCCAAAGTGCTGGGATCACGGGCATGAGCCATCACGCCTGGCCTAAGATTGTAAATATTATGTTGTTTATTTTAACACAATAAAAAAGCTGGGGAAAATAAAAGAACAACCATGATAAAGCAGTAAACATTATTGCTCTCAAGGCCAGGGTGCGGTAACTGAGGTACCTATAGAGCAAAATGTATTCACTTTTAGTTCTTGCTTTCTTAAATTTTGCACCGTAAGGTACCTCACTCACTTCACCCTAGCACCAGCCCTGATTAATTTTACTCAGTTTCAACTTTGTATAAGTTGTTAAATATTCTACTTGAAAAAATGGGAAGCAGACAAACACTTCTGCTGCCTATCAAAGAAAGACAGTTGTCTTGGGGAACAAAAACATTTGCACCGCTAGGCACAGTGGCTCACACCTATAATCCCAACACTTTGGGAAGCCGAGGCAGGTGGATTACTGGAGGTCAGGAGTTCAAGACCAGCCTGGCCAACATGGTGAAACCCCGTCTCGACTAAAAATACAAAATTAGCTTGGGATGGTGGCATGCGCCTGTAATCCCAGCTACTCAGGGGGTTGAGGCAGGAGAATTGT